GGTCAGGCAGCATTACCTAGGGGAGTTCTTGAATTTGACTTCATTAATGCTCTCAATGTGTTTTGAAATCTGTTCATGAAAGAAGCTATAGAAATTCAAAGATCATGACCAGGGGAGGAACATTTTCTCCCAATTTGGGTTTAGAAATTAATATATAGGTGACTGCAGCTTATTTTATTATTATCATTATTTTCATGGGAAGGACTGTAAAAGCTTTGTCTTAAAGCTGTACAGTATTAGCCACTTGGATGGAAACTACCATTGGATAATTCAGTTTGAAGTCAAATGTGGCTGAAATTGTATACCAATGGGCCTGAGCGTCCCTTAGAAGCTTGGTGTGTTCCAAAAAACCTAAAAAATACAAGCCATCAAGTATTCTCGATCTTGCTGTTCAATTATAAATGGATAAATGTTATGAATTCTGTGTTGCTGACATTCCTTTGGAGAAGTGAATTAATGCAGTCTCCAGCTGCCTGCAGTTGAAGGCCATGAATCACATTGAGTGAGTACAAAATAATCAGAAGTGTGGAATGGGTTTTTGGATTTCAGTTATTTGGTGTTTGTTGGAAGATCTCATTGTAAATAAACAAGTCTTGAAGATGCCACATCCTTTTGCCTGTTGGGATCATATTGTAACCATTAAAAGTGTCCTGCATAGCTGCAGAGATTAAACTGGAGAATAGCAGTGTCCATTTAAGGGAACAGCTTAGTGCCAGTTTTTAAATTCAGGCTTTTGTGGAGTAGAAAGGTTGGAAATCCTCTGCTCTAGAATAACATTTGTTTATTCCATAAAACATCCAGTTCCATTGGATGTTGATCCTTCTCAAGTTCTTTGTCTCCTTGCTAGTGAGAGAGCTGGATAGAATGTGAGGAGATCGACTTTTAGATGCAGAACGCTGTTTAAGTTTTATGTTAAGCATTTAATATGCTTCTTTTTCTGTATAGTCAGTTTATTACTTGACAATTAATTATGCATTGGTCACTTTAAAATACCAGAGGTAGAACAGGCTATGGTCTCTGACTTGTTGGTGAAGTACCGTAGTTATGCACTCTTAGTCAGATTTACATTGGCCAGGGCTTGTGTCAAGAGTCTAAATCACTTTACTTGCTCCCATGAGTGTCAGCTCAGCAGCCCTTGTGTAGAAGTTGTGAGAATTGGTTGTGTGTATATGGTGCTCCCCTGCTGAAAATGGTGATTTGGAAGAAGATTACTGTGGCTTACTTCATGATAATAATGGTAGATATGGTAGTCCCCTAGCATACCGGTACTTTTGATTGTATACATGACTGCAAGTAATGGCAGGTTCCACAAAAGGGTAACTGGGGCTGGCATTACATCCATGGCTGAGGTACCTGTGGAATTTGGCTGTGCCTCCTGAAACCACTGTGGCTCTCCATAAACTGCATAATGTGCAATACTATGCAGGCCTTGGTGGTGATGGGTCAGCTGTCGTACAGCTGTCTTGCTAAGCATTGCTTGCTTTTGGGACCTTAGTCATCTCCACACATACACACCCCACGTCTCCCCCAAAATATCCTGTTACAGAGTATTTGGGGATCCTATTTCTTGAAAGTCCATGTGTAGTTGAACATTTCAGATTTTTAGTTGAAATGAAAATCCTTATACATGGCCGTGTAGTCCTTGGATTCAAGGTCATCAGATACTGCACTTAGCTCTGTCACTGACTTTCTTTGTGGCTTTGAATGCATTCATTGGAACTCTGGGCTTCACGTTGCTCAGTTGTAATACAGGCAACTGCCTGGTTGTGTGGGGGCTGCGTTCCAGGCATTTGCACGTGTTGGCAGAGCACACATAAGCCTGCCCGTTATGCCCCCTTCCGGGTTCAAAATTACCCACGTGTCTGCGGCCGTGCGTCAATTGAAATTGTGCAAAATGGTTGCCACCTGTATATATTTATGTTGGGTGCAAGAACATGTAGGCAGTGAGTTAGATCCGGACTTAAGTGGATCATCCTTTAGTCACATTTAAAACAATGAAACTTAAGTGTGATTAATGTAGCCCAGATCCAACCCACTGTATATGAAGAAACAGGAAACTGTGTCCCGCATTATTACAATCTCTGGGTTGACTTGTGTAAAGTGAAGAGGGGAGGTTGCTCATATTTTACTGTTTTCATAGGTGTCCTTAGTCAGAAGTGTTGGAATCTGCTTTTTAATGTTTATGTATGAGTTGCTTTAATCGGTGGGTTGTTGTCGTGATACATTTAGGTTAGATCTCAGCTTGCAATTTATATATATATTTTTTTATAAATATTTATTAAGGTTTAAAATACAAATATATATAGTACACAATGTAGCATATGTCATGACATAGTTTCACATTTTCTTTGGACTCCCTCACGTCTCCCGCTCCCACTTTCATCGTTATAAACTTTTACCAGCAATTTATCATCTTGTTTGCATTCTTATGTCCCATCTATTTATTTATAATTTAATAATTCTCCAAAAAAAAAAAGAAAAGAAAAAATTTATGTTATCTCGATCTTACTTATCATCCTAAATCATCTAGTTTAGTGGTGCTCAATTGTTTATGATCTAGCATCTTGCTTAACATTCAATCAGATTACAGTATTTTTGTAGGTATATCTTGAATTTCTTCCAATCCTCTTCCATCCTCTCCTCTCCCAGGTCACGGATTCTGCCGGTCATCTCAGCCATCAGCTTGCAATTTATATCTGAGATCCTTTCCTGATACCTCCTGGTATCAAGGAGATATTTACTTTTTTCATAGAGTCTGTGGATTGTTTTGGACTACAACTCCTATCAGCCCCAGCTAGGACAGTTGTGCTTTTGGGAGGTGATGAGTTGTAGTCCAAAACATCTGGAGGGTTTTAATTTAGAGAAGGGTGCTTTGGTGTATCTATACTCGTGTTCACAGCAATGCTTTGAGAACATCCTGCTGCAGTAGTGAGAAATAATAACAAAGTATTGTCTGTTAATAAAATGGATACAGCTGGAATGGATGTTTTCTGTAGTTCTAGCCTGTTCCTTTTCTCAATAATTCTGAAGCTCGTTTGCTGAGGGTGTGAAGCGGGTGTTTCATTTTTGTAGACATCAAAAGATCACTTGGTTCCTGTAAATGACCCTTTTGTCAGAGATGTCCTAGGGCTCTGTTACAGATTTAGAAAGCAAAGATAGCAGGAAGTAATTAGTGAAAAAAATTGTTAAAAGATTTTAAAATAGCTCTTTCTCTCCTCGGGGAATTTTCTCTTTCAGAGACAAGATGATACTTCTGTCTTTTCTTTTTAATGTGCTTCTAGCCCTTCCTAGTGTGTTGCAGTGCAGAGGAGGGTTTGCAGGAATCTCAGCTGTAGTGTCCCCTCCTGATGGTGACATTCTGGGGATTAGTTTGGCATCTCTTCCAGATGCTTTGTGGGATAGTAGAAATAAGCTGACACTTGGGATTACCAGACTCTGACCTCTGATTGAAATGTGTGTGTGTGTTCCTTAAATCAACAATTTTTTCAAACGGTGTTCAAGGAACCTTGAGGGTCCTCAGCCATTTATTAGGTTCCTCTGTAATCACTAATTGCAGACAAGCTTCCCTGAATAACAGCTTGCCCTCCTGCTACTGATATTTTCTGAAATGCACAGCTATAGGGAAGGGTTGGGTGTTGTTTACAGTGTACACTTTGGTCTCATTGTTGCCCTGCATGAACTAATAGGCTTGGGCAGAGACTTATGTGAACTGCCCCCTTGTAATAGTCTTGTAAATAAGCCCCCACGAGTTAATAGCATGCAAAAAAGAGAAGAAAAGAAAAAGAATCACTAGTCTATTGGGGGCTGGCAGAGGAGGGACTATGAGCTGCATTTCTGTACTGGGTGTGGAAGAGGGGACTTTCCTCCAGCAGCCTGTTTGGTTTCTGTGCTGGTTCCTCTGCCATCCTGTTCACCTGTCTGCATAGAATTTAATGCACCTGCCTGTGTGCAGTTCCTGGTCGTCTATGGTTATGAGGCTAGTGCTTAAATACAAGGGTGCCCTAGGCTGCTATAGAATACACAACAGTTCTGTGGCAGGGCACAGGGGTTTCTGGGCAGGCAAGTCATTGAGGAAAAAGTTTGAAACCAACTGACATCAACCCCAGCCATGGATTTTGAAATCAAATTGTACCATGTAGTTCTATAGTCAATGACTGAATTAAATTTATTGTACTTTTCACCCATGTTAGATGACTTGCTAAACTTGTATCTGGGTTATACTGCTTCAGGCTACAGATGACAGCTCATTTGATAGAATAGTCATTCCTACAAAAAAGAAAAAGAAACTGAATCCCTACACCTACAAAGCAAGCTTGCTTGGAATAAGCAGTTCTGTCTTAGCCTTCTTTCTGATATATCACTTTTCTCTGTGGGGATATTTGTTTGTTTTGTTTGTTTGTAACATTCCATCATGTGAGCACCCCCACCCTAACCCAAGCAGTATGAAATTGAGCAATCCAGACACAAGTTTACCACCTCCTCTACTGTTCTTACTACTATGTTTTAAATCAATCACATCAATTGTCCCCACAATCCCTGGTCATCTGCATGGTTATGGTCTTGATAGATTAGTATTTTTGGTGCTTTTCAGACAATTATTGTTTCCCAAAGCAGCTCCTATCAACAGTCAGTGAAAGGCCCTTCTATAAGGCTTACAAACTAAAAAAAAGAAGTAACACAAGGGAAGAGGAGGGAATGGAAAAGGCAGAGGAGGGAGATCATTCCACCTGCATGTCTATTTGTGGCACATAAATGAATTTACCTTCTTTTGATTAAACTCTTGATTTCTTGTGACAGAAGCTTCTTTTTCAGTAGTTGAGAAGTTTGATTTTGCTTCTGAACAACAAAGCTTATTGAAATAGGGTACAAATAAATTACAAGGAAGACAACTTATGCTTTTTGTTAGACAACACTTGAATGAGTCCAAAATACCTTAAATACCTTAGCATACCTTAATCTGTGTTAAGTTGTATATTAAAATCACTGTTTTGTTTCCACAGGGTGGCATTTTGCAGTGTTTCCAAGTTGTGATAACCAAGGCGAGGCGAATAGTCCAGGGAGCATTTCTCCATTTTAACAGAGCCAGGTAAACTGAACAGCAGCCTGAACCCAATATTTTGTTTTGAGCTCCAGTATGCATGATGAAAGTAGCGTAGAATCTATGTGACAGCCTCTTGTGAAATGTCGCACCTGTCCGTACCCTCAAGGCCTGCTACCAACATTCTTGAGATACTTAGGCTGAGAATATTTTGTTGATAGAAATGGGGCTCTTCAGTCCTGAAATGATCAATATATGTGGTGGTTCCATTCATTAGTTTGTGGTATTATTATTTCATGCCAGGGGGCGGGTGAGGACTGAGGAAGAATTTAGGCAGTAAAGCTTGCAGGGGAAACTGCCAGGGGCTGCCCTTGAGCCTTCAAATTATACAGCAAGCATAACTTGATTCCAATTTATTGTATATTGGAAGATGCAATGGGCAGCTTGCCTTCACCTATGTAGCTTGGATGTGTCTTAAAACCAACATGGTAGCATTTGTACAGGTTTCATGTTGTCTTTGTGGACAATTTCAGTGGGCTACTTAAAACCACTTAGCTCTACATATCCCAAATAACCATAATCACCCCTGTGTCCCACGTTGGTGTCTAAAATTGATGAGTAACACCTTTTTAAGTTCATTCACCAGTTAGGACTGTAAGAGCCTATAGACGAGTGACTGCCCCTTGATTGCAGAAATTCTTCCCTCTGAGGACTCGGCAAAGAGAGTCTGCTAGAGCTTCATCAGAAAGTGAGGTAAAATGTATACTGTGAGCAGAACAGAACACCATCTCTTGATAGTGGCCTGGTTCTCAAATTACACTAAGCCAAACCATTCAGGCTCCCAGAGAGGAGATTGTAGCCACTTAGCTTTTCCCCAATTGTTTTGCTCCTGTTGTATACTGAGCTAAGCCATGGTTTGGCTTATGTTTTCAATTGGAACCTGACTATTTAGCTGCCGAGTCCAGAGGAGGAGGATTAGCATGATTAGCTTCTCTGCACGTGATCTTTTTGCCTATCTTTGGCTGTTTTGCTGGATGGTAGCAATAATGCCTTGCTTCAATGCCCCTATAGTAGTAAAGGTTTGTCTTTTATCTAAACCAGGGGTTGTCATCCTGGTCCCTACCGCCCACTAGATTCTGGGTGGGTGGTAGGGGGTTCTACGGCACAAGCTGAATCCTCCTTACATTGAGCATTGGTGGCTGGTGGCAAGGAAATTTTACCATCAAGAAAGATGCATTAGTGGGTGGTAGGTATAAAAAGGTTGACTACCCCGATCTAAACCGTAGTGACTCTAACATTCAGGGACTTGTAATTATGTTGTCAAGTTTCCCTCTGATTCATTCATTCATTTTTCTAGTATATTTTGAGGCACGAGGTTTATACTATCATCCTTATTGGAATGCCGTGTTGGCAGTTCAGAGATAAATGCCATTCAGCCACAACCAGAACTGAATAATCATAACTGTATAATTTTTTTTCTGTTTCCTTTCCTTTTCCCACTTCTAGTCTACTCTTATTTTAATTCCTTCCACCTTAGGAAGGAAGTGAAAGGAAGGGTACTGTTCACCTTAATGCAGGGGTGGGAAACTGCAGCCTCCAGATGTTACTGTATGCAGCTCTAGGCAGCATAGCCAAAGGTCAAGGATTACATGGGTTGTAGTCCAGCAACACCCAGAGGCCACAGATACTTCACCCCTGGCTTCAGGTTACCTGCTGAATTGTGCAAAATTTGTCTGAGGGATGGGGCTGGTGTTTTTTGATCCTGGTAAGTGGTGCCACCTGCTGGAAAATGAAGCACAAAATGCTCATTTTTTCCTTTTAAAAAGCTATTTATGTGTTTCACCTGTTGGTGGAAAGAAGCACCTTCCTTTTAATTTCCAGAGTGTCTGACTTGTTCCATAACTCCGCCTATAGTCTGTTGGGATATATTGTGGCTTTAGAACACATTATACTAACATTCCTTCACCTGGCCCTTCCCACCATAGGTTTGCTGACAAGCTAAATTAAGAGGCATTGCAGGACCCTTAAAAAGTTATTGGGCTTTGGCAGGTCTCCAATTTAGAGTTCCACATTTGTGGAGCAACCACCCAAATTCATGGGCCATTGTTGGGCAAAGTTAGATCTTCTGTCATATAGTCAACAGACTGGTTCCTGACGTCACATGAGAAACAGTGTGTTGGCCTCAAAGGAGTTAAGATTATAATACGTGATGGTGCCAGGAAGGTGCAGTGACATGTGCCATCTTGCTATCTTGCTATAACTTGCTCCATCTCTGAGGAGGAATGCTTCCTTCAAGATCTGGCTAATTTTGAAGCCTCTGGAGAACTTCCCATGCTTATCTGTTGATAGGTCTAGAGTCACAGTAGATGAATTTGTTAGAGCCTGCTCCCTAATATCCTAATCTTGCTTTTGATGGGCATTTATTGCCCTTTGAAAGGACAGCTGAGTCCTCTTGAAAGATTATGACTTATTTCAGATAAAAATGAATTGCCTAAGAGCAGCACCATACACTGCAGTTGCCAAACAAGAAACTAGTGAGCTTTTGGTTAAACTGTTTGTGCGCAGATTGCCAGAACATAGTATCACTTTTTTATTTTGTTTAAACAAATGATATAGAAATTACAATGCACCCAATCAAATATGGATACTACATTTCATTCTCCTTGTATGGTTTCTTGTAGGTGGAGCCCTGCATGCTTTTCCCTAAGCGCAGATTGCATCTTTGATTCCTCCTTCCTTGGCTGTTCTTGATTAAACATTCTCATAGCCTGAGATTACTAGGCAAGCAGGTAATGTTAGCTGTTGGTCTATTCTTAACTTCTTTTTCTTCTTATAAACTACGATCCATTCTGTGCAGTTTGGAGGAATTGAAAGGCTGCATGGATAAACTGTCATCTGTGCGTAGTATCTTAATATAGCAAAGTTAGACATTCATATTGGTGATTAAGCTAGCAGTCAGGCTGAATGTTGCTGCTAATTAATTGTAAAAGTTTATTTGTGAATATATTTATATGCTGCTATCTCATAAAGATATATCCCAGCAGCTTACAACAATATAAAAACATAAAACCAAATACAGTGGTACCTTGGGTAACGTAATTTCGAGTTACGAACATGGCAAACCCGGAAGTGTATACTTCTGGGTTTTGCCATACCGCAGAAACAACGCCTCCGGATACAGACTTTTTGGGGTAAGTACGGACCCCCAGGACAAATTAAGTCTGTATCCAGAGGGTCCACTGTAATAAAAAGTTAAAAATAAGTTAAAAGCAAAAAAGAAATAAAAAACAAACCTCAATGAACCATTGTGGGGGATGTACTCTTAATTGCCTGCATAGGCCTGCAAAAGTTTTCAGCAGGTGTTTAAAAGTTTGCACAGAACGTGCTCACTGAATCTCTATTAGCAGAGTGTTTCACAGGTCTGGGCCGATGATACTAAAGGCTTGATTTCTGGTTGTTGTCAAATGAGCCTGTTTGCCTCGTGCTTCCCAAGGAAGAGTGACTTACCGGAAGAATAAGAAATCAAGATAACAAACTTTTTATAAAAGAATGGAAATGGTTTATTGAATATTTACAGATAAATTGCAAACAGATAAAAACATTGGCAGGATTATTGTTTCGGAACAATATGCAGTTTCGGAAGAGTATATATTTAAAGTAGATAATTAAATGATCAAATTAAATGAATTTGAATATGCAGAAGATATTAAAAAATAAAGAACCACAGAAAGAGGGGGAAGGAAGTCAAACTTTGAAATGTTAAAATGATTGTAAAATTAGTGAAATGTATAAATTTGAAACGTATAAATATTTTTTTTTAAAAAAAGAGTGAGTTCAATACCTGGTCACTTGCTTCTGCGTCAAATGCTGTTGGTGTGCCCACAGGACTGCAGCATTGTAACATGTTCTCCTGACAGCGTTTTGTTCAAGGCAGCTGTAAACCATTTATTTTCCTGTGGAAAATGAACTTGTCAGCCTTTACTATATTGTGGCCCCAGCCGAGCACTCCCAGGAGATCCAGCATGATAGTTATGACATTTTGTAGCTGAATTAAATGGTGTACCACAGGGTTGGAGAACCTGTGGTCCTCCAGGTGTTGTTGGACTACAGTTTCCATTCTTACTGATCACTGGCTATGTGGGCAAGGGCTGATGGAAACTGGAGCCTCACAGTATCTGGAGGGCCACAGGCTCCACATCCCTGGTTTAGGAAAGAACTGCTGCTAACTAGGCAGCTCCTATGGATAGGGTATTGCTGGTTTTAACTGTTAATACTTAGCCTTTTCCTTGCCTATTATTCTTAACATAGTAAACCATTCTTGTATCTTTTTTGTTGGTGATTAATATTTAGAAGTCTCAGGAACTGGGAAGAGGGGAATGAACCGTGAGGGTGTCCCCGGGAAGAGTCCGGAGGAGATGTATATTCAGCAGAAAGTCAGAGTCCTGCTAATGCTTAGGAAGATGGGATCAAATGTAAGTATTGCAGGCAGCCTTGTAGACCCTCACAGAAGCTACTAGTTCAGCATAATTTGTACTAGCCTTCTAGAACACCGTGCTGATGTTAGTTTTTTGTGGCACTCTAGGGGTTTAAAGAGAGCTAGCCATTTTCCAGTTTCCAAAACCTTTCTTGCTTGCTCACCTCAAATTGATTCTTTGTTGTACAGGGCAACTTAGAGGGGTAACTTTTGTGACTAAGAGCCTCCCTACATTCTTCTATAGCTTTCCTTAGGGACGCGGGTGGCGCTATGGTCTAAACCACTGAGCCACTTGGACTTGCTGATCAGAAGATTGGCGGTTCGAATCGCCATGATGGGGTGAACTCCCGTTGCTCTATCCCAGCTCCTGCCAACCTAGCAGTTTGAAAGCACACCAGTGCAAGCAGATAAATACTGTAGGTACCGCCGTGGTGGAAAGGTAAATGGCATTTCCGTGCGGTCTGGTTTCCGTCACGGTGTTCCGTTGCACCAAAAGTGGTTTAGTCATGCTGGCCACCTGGCCTATAAAGCTGTCTGTGGACAAACGCCGGCTCCCTCAGCCTGAAAGTGAGATGAGTGCCGCACCCCATAGTCACCTTTGACTGGACTTAATCATCCAGGGGTCCTTTCCCTTTTTTACCTGTAGCTTTCCTTAAAGGTTCCAGTTTCTCTTGAGCAGATAACTTTGAATGTGGTACCTTTATCCCATAAGAACAAAAGATAAGCTTTGCAACTAGATCAGACTGAAGGACCACCTAGTCCAGCATCCTGTTCTCACAGTGGCCAACCAGGTGCCTAAAGGCAGTCCACAAGGACAAAATGAGGGCATTTTCATTCTCTCACTTGTGATCTCAAGATAATTGCTATGACGACTAATAGCCTAAATGCTAGTAATTATTTTGCAGATACTACATCTAGGTTTCTGTAATTTTTCTACCTACTCCTTTTTGAAAATTAAAACTGTAAAATGTAAAATGAATGTATGATATCAATAGAGGAATACATAATTTCAGTTGTGCATTCTTTAGTCATCTGTTGGATATATGGACGCTTGTATAGAGTCTACTTGGGGACTTGTCGGGGACTACTCTTTGGCTTATTTCAACACATAATAGGCTCTCTTGGTCTTAGGAAGCCAACCGCAGAATCAGGGTAGCAATACTATTGGGCGGGGGGGTTGGAGGAACTTGGGGAAGAAAATTCAAGTGCAACAAAATATTACTTCCCGTGAGCTCAATGTATTTCAGAAAAATTCATTTATCGAGGGAATGCTTATTAACACACCAGGGATACAGGAGTTATCTCAGTATTCATTGTATGTTAGAAATGTTGCTTAAAATGTTCCCTTAAATGTCCCCCGCCCCAAACTCACTGGCCTTATAATAAATAATATTTTGTAGCACCTGGATTTTCTTCTTTTCTCTCTCTGTCTCTCCTTTTTTAAATTATTGGGCAAAGTAATTTCATTTTATATTGCCATGTCTAGATGAATAAAACAGTAGCTGTCTCCAAATTATTTTTGATTTCATGGGGATCATTTAGTGTGGTATCCATTTAGTGTGGTTTCACAAAAAGGGGAAGTTGTTTTTATGGCCCCTTCTTGTGTGACTGGAAGCAGGTACAAGTGACAGTAAGGAAAACTGAACCGAACTGTGATGAATTGTACTCTGAATAGTAAATAAGCACAGACCCTACTGCTGAGTTTCTATTTATGGATTTGCTTTTCTTTGTCCTTGTACAGTTAACCACCAGTGAAGAGGAGTTCTTGAGAACGTACGCAGGGGTAGTGAATAGCCAACTTAGCCAACTTCCTCAGCATTCAATTGATCAGGGTGAGTAGCAGGGGAAAGGGAGACATGTAAGCTTTCCAAATATTTATTGGTATAAGTGGTCTTTGTGGAAATGGATTTAAATTTATTTTAAAGCTACAGAATAGGTTTATTTATATTATTTTACTTAGGAAAAAAGTAAATATCTGGATAGACTTGTTGAAATAAAGCATTTTGTATCTAGCATCTAAAATAAAACAGTGAGGATGCCTGTCTAATGTTCATAGGCAGGGAGTTCCAAAGCATAGATACTACCATGTTGAAAGATCAAGACTCAGGAAGGGAAAAACTTTGTGCTCCCTGTGCTAAAATAAATCCAAAATCAGCAAGAAAGTTAACACAATTTTTTGCCAAGAAAGCTAAGTCTTGTGCCCCCATAAATTTGTCAAACATTTGATTGTATTACATTTGTCTGCTGTTGTTTTTGTGGGAAGGGGAAGGAGCAAAGATCTATGTAAGATGCAGAAGATTAAAATTCAGCTTTAATGATGGATGAAGTTCTTTTTAAATACCCTAGAGATGCTTGAGGAACAAAAAAGCAGCATAAGCCACAAGGGCTTCAAATGCTCGATCCATCAGCAGGGGAGTTCACTGAAGGACAGTAGTAGGTTCCAGGCTCCTGTATGATGGAACTTGGGTTTTGATCATTTTCTTGGCCGTGAGCTAAGCTGCATCTGTAGTTGCAGAAGGAATTATTAATTCTGACTCCACATCTCCCCTCTTTGGTATTAGCAGCCCCCTGCTGACATTGTGACATTAATTGTTTTGGTTTCCAAAATTGGGAGTAACCCTTGGAGTACTCTGATGCCTTCTGTTAGAAGGAGGGAGGTTACAAATCATTTTGTTCTTAGAGCATTATTCCTCAAAAGCTCTTGAGGGTGGGGCTCAAGGATTCCCCATTAAGGCATTAAACCAAAATTAAGAGACCAATGTAGAAATGTATTAATTTTGATGCCAATGTGAGTCTTGTAGCTTGTGGAAATGTTAATGGATGCACAGCTGGTAAGATATCTATGATCCCCCAAAGGTTGTACAGAACAAGCTGAAACATCCACTCAGTTGGCAAGTACAAAAAATATAACATGGTTTGGTCATACATTGCCCAGCTTTTGAAGCCATAGTTTAGCAGCTGAAAATGGACATTGGGACACACTTGCTACATCCCTTCCTTGGCATGCCAGTCTTGCTTAGGTCAAGTTCCCTATTAAGTCCAAAACAGAATTGATGTCAGTTTACTAACTTTAAACTTTACTAAAGGTTACTAAATTTAACAGTTTATACATGAACTAAGATCCCTGTTTGTGAACTAACATTAAACCACAGTTCTCCATTTTGTATGTTTATTAGTGACTGCAAACTGCTGGGGAAATTTTAAATTGAAATACAGACATGTTGAATAATTATTTTAATTTGTCATTCTAAAGTGTGATAGAATATTGAGAACTGGCTTATGTAATGCAGCCCTCCAGATGTTGAACTCCAGCTCCTATCAGCCCCAGCCAGCATGGCCCATGGTCAGGGATGGTAATCACTGCTCTAAACCAAGAGTATCTTAAACCTGCAGAGCTTCACAGGAACTGCTCTTGAGAACTTATGCTCTAGGGAGTCACTGCTTTTCTCATTCTTATCCTGTGGACAGGAGAAGAGGTAACCATGGAGGTAATTAAATAACATCAAGTATATTCCAGTGTCTTAATTAGCCGAACTGAAATTGGTTGTCTGAATGGAGATCTTCTCCACTAGATGGCAGTAGCTTCCTATAAAAACCAATTTCAGAACCTCTGAGATGCTTGAATTTAAAATATTCCCATTTCCCCTAGAAATAGTGTCTATTTACCTCCTACCCACCTACCCCTATATCTTGCATCTAGGTGTCGAAGGAAATTTTAAAATCTGATTTGCAAAGCCTTTGATGTGCATCAAAGATCCATCTAAATCCCCTTTGGGGCTGGGTATTAATTTAATGGTTCCTCAGATCCTGACTGTGGAGTTCCACATTCTCCTGAATCCAGCCACATTTCTAAATTTGCAAACTCAAACTTTCATAGCTTGATCATACATGAAGGTTTTGCTTTTTTCCATTTAATAGAAATTCTGCCTTTTGCATATTCTGTTCTCATCTGGACCAACTCCCTGCCTCTGCAATGGCAAACACTGTGGCAGTTGCTCAGCTATGCCTTTGTTGACATAGCTAGAAAGCAGTGAGATGTATGCTGAAGACTGGTTCAATTTCTAGTCCCTAGGCCGGAGCAGCCAACCTAGTGCCCCCCCCCCCGAGTGTTGTTAGACTACAACCTCCATAATCTCTGACCATTGGCCATGCTGAGCTGATGAGAGTTGTAGTCCAGCACCACCTGGAGGGCACCACTTTGGCTACCTCAACCCTAGAAAATGGTAACTGGTTGCTGAGTGGCAAATCTTGTCTTCAGGTAGGGTTACTTTGTCACTTCACCCAAAGACATTGGGCTCTTATGTGCAGAATAGCCACGTTAGATGATCTAACGTCGGTTATGCTGTTCAGTCTTCATTCTTTAACAGATGGGGTGCGCTCCCATTTCAGTGTGATTTAGACATTTGCCAAGTATGTTGGCAGAAAGGATTTGGAGATGCTTTAAGTTCTGTGGAGGAGTTCAGAGTGGGAATAAGCTGCATGGCTGTCATAGAAACATGGGTGAAAGCTGGAAAGCTCTAGAATTCCCTACCTTGCAATCTGGAAGTGCTGCATTGAAAGTGATGTTAACAATTCACTGGAAGGTAATTAGCACAGTACTTCTCAAAACGCAAGCTGTTCCTCTTGGAGTCTTTGACACCGAGGGATATTTTGAAACCGAACTCCAAGGTTTGTTCTTCGGCAGGGGCTCAGAGGTATGAAAGATCTGAAGAATGGAGGCCTTAATCTGTAAGTACATGCCTGAGGGAATGTTGGCCACCTTCTTTCTCAGTCATCTGTTTTGATCTATTCTGCATTAGTTCCCCCACCTATTAAAGAAGGAGCAAAAGCAGCAGCTCTTGAGGGTTTGTGCTAAGCTGCTACTTGTCAGATAAACTGAAAGGCGTTACACTCTTGAAACGCTCTGTGCAAATACAGTTGGATGCATCTGGGGTTTTTTGCTTTTTAAAATGAAGAGGTTGCAGTTAGGTTGGTTATTTGCATAATGAGACTGGAAAGCAGAATCTTTGTGGTCGTTAAAGTAGGACCTTGGTGACTCCACCACCACTGTTTGCTGCAGCAACCGTGCCTTGTTGGTTCTTGGAGAGAGCCAGGTCCCTTGGGGAGCACAGAGCTGAGATGCAAATATACTCTGTGCAGATAGGTTGATGGGCTAGGCTAGGGGAGCCACTCAGCCTGCACTGTGAATTTTGTGCAATATTCTTCAACCCTAAGTCCTCATTTGGTGTTGAACTGTGACTCCCCATCATCCCCAGCCAGCTTAGCCAGTGATCAGGCATGATGAGAGATGTAATCCTACAGCAATGGTGGACCCAAGGTTGTAGAGTACTGTTTTAGGGGAAGAAAGTTGCCTGAGGTTTGAAAGTAGACGGGGGGTCAGATAAGATTTGGATTCAGGATTGTAATACTGTACTTTGTTTTGCTGGGATGCCTTGCATTGTTCTGTGTGTTCCTTCCTGCTAGCACACAGTTAGGATCTTCTTTTTTGCACATGAACAAAGGAAAAGGATACAGTGGTGCCCCGCAAGACAAATGCCTCGCAAGACGAAAAACTCGCTAGACGAAAGGGTTTTCCGTTTTTTGAGTCGTTCCGCAAGACAAATTTCCCTATGGGCTTGCTTCGCAAGATGAAACGTCTTGCGAGTTCTTGCAAGTTTGTTTCCTTTTTCTTAAAGCCGCTAAGCCGCTAATAGCCGTGCTTCGCAAGACGAAAAAACTGCAAGATGAAGAGACTCGCGGAATGGATTAATTTCGTCTTGCGAGGCACCACTGTACTTTGAAGGATATGGAGGAAGGTTTGCTTTTAGCAACATTCTGTCAGGCCTATGCAGTTGTTTGACATTTTCTTGAGTAACCAGTCATGTTAATGATTGTTCTGCACTCTCTTTAATGGTGTGTGTGTGTGTGTTTATGTTTATGTTGCTGAACACTGTCGTGATACGTTATGAGAGGGCAGGGTATGAATACTTTTATAAAAAATAAATAAACATATGTTTTGTGTTTTCACCACTCATTCCCAAAATGTTGTAGATACATGCCAGAGAAACAAAGGTGCACTGATTTGAAGCTTGTTACTGAAAATGTTCCCAGCAGCTGCCTACAGAATTGCAACACCTCTGGTTAGAGAGCCAGTACGGGGTAGTATAGTACATCCTCAATCTGTGGCCCTCCAAATGTTGTGGTACTACAACTCCCATCAGCCCTAGCCAGTGCAGCCAGAGATCAGGGATGATGGGAACTGTAGTCCAACAACATTTGAAGGGCATCAGTAAAGTGTTGGACCAGGGAAATGCTTGGTCTAATTTTTGTTCTTCCATGAAACCTGCTGAGTGACTAGGGGCCGTTTGCTCTCTTCTAATCACAGGGTGGCTCTGAGATGGGAGAGTCCTGATCTCCTTGGAGGAAAATAAATAAATAAATAAATAGTCATTTTCAAAAGGCAGATTTGTAGCCTTGGTTCTAAAGAGGTAGAGAAGAATTTAATAAGGGAGTTTCAACCACATAAATCATGCTATAGAAAACACCCGAACGTCGGATCATCTTTACAGGAAGCCAGATCACATTATAAAATTGCTCCCCTCCCACCTATTATTGTGATTCCATTATTTGTCACATCTGCCTTTTTCTAGCCCAGACACAGTTGGTGTGAGTCACTCAACATAGCTTTTGGGCATAATTTTGGAGTCTGCCATGGAATTGAGCAGCTCAAAGAGACCTGTGGAAACTGGGACTTGCTAAGATGAATCATCTAATGGGAATCTTCACAACTGGCTTCCTACTTGGTTTTGTCTGTTCACAAAATCTGTGTTCATGCTGAACAACAGACATATCC